ACAGGTCTTATCATACAAGCTAGCCATTATATGTCATATACACTACTGTATTTGGTAACTTTACATTAACTGCACCTTCATAATGCCTTCATAATGCATTCATAATGCCTTCATAATGCATTCATAGAACATTCATAAGCAGCATGTAAGTGCACCTTAACATCCTAACATACATTAACAGCTTTAATATACATTAATATCAAACATTACACGATAATACCACACAATATAATCCTATGTTTGTTTTAGTGTATGTTAGGATGTTATGGTATACTTACATGCTGCATATGAATGTTATATGAACGCATTATGAACGCATTATGAAGGCATTATGAAGGTGCAGTTAATGTAAAGCGTTATCCTGCATTTATTTGCCTTTATTTTCATTGTTAGAGGACTGTGCTGTCACTTGAGGGTCACAGCAGAGAGCATCCACAGTAGATGTACATAGTCGTGTAAAAGGATTGCAGTGTCACTCCTTGAACAGTACAGTACTTGTATTTGTGAGAAAACCGTTGTGGCTTCATCTTTATTTCTTCATGAAAGGCTCCTAATATGTGATTAGGATGTAGTCAAAACAGGTAAAGGCATTCTTATTTGACACTGTATTTTACAATGGCATATTTTTTTTTGCAAATTGATAAAAAGGCTAAAAATGACGGAAGTCCTTATTTACTCAGTTCATAGTGTCTTTTGTGGTCACACATTAGCGGTACGGGGGTCCTGGTTTTGGAAAAGATGAAAAAAACCCCTGTTTAAACAAACTAGGTCATTGATGAAAAAATGAAGTGATCTTCTTGGACAATGACCACTTGAAAAGAGAGTGACTGGAGTCAGATGCTCCAGTTACTTCAGATGTGAGTTTTACCCACCATGCTGTATAAAAAAAAAAACATGACTGACTTTTCACAACAGACTTCTGTTCAAGTGCAATATCCCTCAATTAAGAGGGATTTTAGAGGAGCCTTTGACAAGAATATTTCACAAGACATGAATGTGTAGAATATTTCTGAACACTTGGGTCTCCATCAGTTGACATATATGTAGATTATTTTCAAATGCAAGGAGAGCACTGCTGCTGTTCTCCTAGAAGTGGGTCTCCTACACAGGCCAGAGCAAGGTGCTGCCACAGAATCCTCTAACAAGAACAACAGTGACAATTAAGGATCTGCAGACATCTTGCACTTCATAATGTCTGCGTTCATCAGTCTACCATGAGAAAAACACTGAAGAGGTGTGGTTTTCGTGGCAGGTCACCACGGAGGAAACCACTGCCCTCCAAAAAAACTGATGTTCATCTTAAGTTTGCTAAAGACCACCTGAATGTTTCATAGTACTACTGGAAATACTGTTCTGTAGACAGGTGAAACAAAAGCTTTTTAGCTTTTAAAGTTAAATAGAATTTTGCATTTTCATGACAACTTTCTATGCATCTCTCTGAGGGCCTATTTCATACTAACGTAAAATATTATTTGTAATTTAATCTACGTGAATTTGCTGCTATTCCTCCAAGCACATTCACCTTGCGGCATTGTACAGTGCCGGCAGTCCTGTGTCACATCCACACTGAAGGAGATGTGCAGGATCAACAGGCAGCAGCTCTGCCCCAAACACAGTACATCACAAAAATTAAGATACCAACTCAAAGACACTTCTCTAATTATAGGAGTGACCCTATGCTGCTCGTTTGGGTGGATCAGCCTCGGTTAATAAGAGGGCACCGAAAACCAACATGCTATTGATCATTGTAGGAGCTGCCAAACTGTCTGCACCGTGTCCACATTGTAAGAAGTCTAACCTGAGATTCGGAGTATCTTTCAGATCCCATTTAAACTCCATTCTCATTCAGAGCAGCTTTCAGATCTCGCTTACACTCCAGCGTCATTCGGAGCAATTTTCAGATCCCACTTACACTCCAGCGTCATTCGGAGCAGCTTTCAGATCCCACTTACACTCCAGCATCATTTGGAGCAACTTTCAGATCCCACTTACACTCCAGCATCATTTGGAGCAACTTTCAGATCCCACTTACACTCTGGCGTCATTCGGAGCAACTTTCAGACAAATTATTCTTGTGTACTGCTGTCTTGGAAATTTTGAACCTTGAACCTTGAAGCATCCTGCTGCTCAGCGTAGAACCAGAGTTAAACCAGGATTTAAAAATGCAGATTTGTTTAAAAATATAGAGTGGTCTCTTCGCTTTTTTCCGTGGCAGTACAGTAGGGTGTAAGATGTTTTTATTCATTTTGTTATTGTATAATTCTTACATTTCTCTTGTTTTCATCTCAGTACTTTACTTGAGTCCTTGCTGTAATTTCATTGTAAAGTACATTTTAAAAATGCACACAATTCAATCAAGTTCTCAACATTATTGTATGCATTACGTGTGCGTGCATGCGCCGTGTGACAGACTGGCGTCATCACCTGTGTGTATCGCCCCCAGTACATGTGCGTGCATGCGCCGTGTGACAGACTGGCGTCATCGCCTGTGTGTATCGCCCCCAGT